GAAAACAACCTAGATTTTCCTGGAAAGCAACGGATAAGACAGCTATCAAAGTAAGGCAAGGCTCACTAGAATAGAAGTTCGGACTTGGTTGAATTTGGAGCTGGAATGAAATTGGATTTGGTTGAAATTTTGAAACTGAAATTCTGGAAATAAGAGGCTAGAAATTCCTTTTTACTACCCAAACTTGAATTATTTTCCTCAACTTGATGTGTTTCCAATCAGATTTAGAAAAGGGAACCACATAGTGGAAATTTCCTTTGGAAATCCTATTGGAAATAGGAAATTTGGACACGGCTCTTTCAGTTGCTTTATTAAAGAAAATTTATACCTTACTAACAAGAATTGTGGCAGCTATTATGATGTTTTATGATCAAATTTCATGGCTGTATTTTTTTTATTCGGACAGCCACACAAGAACTAGGGTTTCAACAAGAACAATAATTGAAGATTGTTTCTTGCCTTGTTGTCTCACCCAATGAAAAGCAGTCAAGAATTCAAGGAATTTCACATGATAACTTCAAGAATTTCCAGAAATTTTCAGCAATACCCATGGTTCAACAATCACAAAGAAATTTCCCCAAAACAACCCAAGAATTCAATCAAGAATCCCAAGAATTTCCAGCTAGAGTTTCAAGAAACTTGAGAAACACAAATTTGAACTTCAAGACTCCAAGAATTTCAATTTGTATGATCAAGAACTTCAAGAACAACTGCTGATCAAGTCGAGAACTTCAAGAAAAAGGTACAAACAAGTTGCTTAATTCACAAACAACACAACTTGAACAAAAAACCCTAAATTTTTTTTGTTCTCGGGTTTCTTAAACAAAAGTGAACACTATCCTTTTTTTTGACTCAAAACACAAACGAAACAATGAACAAGAGAAAGATTAACAACTAAAACAAAAAAAATTTATAAGTGAACAGTGATTTCGGGATAAATAGTACTGCTACAGTAGCGATGAATAGTGCTGCTACAGTCGTGAATAGTACTCTTTTTTTTTCGGAACACAAACAGTAACAGTAAAAACAACACACGGATAAAACCCTAGACACAAACAAAATAGAAAACAAGGGATATTTGTAATACCTCTTCAACTAGCGCTGATTACCAACTGATACGAACTCTATACGAAGACAAGGACCTAGAAGATTTGATTGGTATCAATGTTGGAAGACGGAGTTGAGAACAACACGAGGAACGACTCGAGTATCGAACCAACGGTAGTTAGATGCCATGATTGAGTGCGTTTCTCAATCGATAAGTCTTCGATCACCTTAGGGTAGCACTAAGATTCTCAAGTTAGTTTTCGCAAGTCATGAAAAGAGGTTTCCCTCAACAGCACTTTGCTGGAAAATTCTCAATCTTATTAATCTGAAAATAATGTTGGACTAAGGCTTTACTTATAGCCTTTTGCAAGACTCAACAATTCTAACCAAACTTGAAAACAATAACTACTTGCCTAAACCCTAACTCGACTAAAATAGGAAACTAACTAGCTCTAATTGGCTCAATAATGGTCCACATGACCTTTAGCCATTTATTCCACCAAACTAACAATAGGAAACAGAAAATAACTTAAACTATAAAAATTACTAAAATTGAAAAATGAAATCTACCATGAAACCGTAGGATGGTTTCCTTATGATTATTAACCGGTTTGGTCCCATGATTTGTTATCCGTCCACTGGTTTACACTTCAACTTGCACTTTGACACTTTTAGATTTGATGATCCGAACATGAGTTCACTTTTGCATCACAGCTCGTCTGTAGGATTATGTTGTTACACCAGATGATGTTCCTTCTGAAGAATATATTGTTAATTTTGCTTTGTTCGCATATTGTGACCCAGTTATGTATGAGGAGGCAACCAGTAATGATCATTGGGTAAAAGTAATGGAGGAAGAAATTCATACAATAGAGACGAATGACACCTGGCAGCTTACTTCTTTTACAACTGGTACAAAAGTCATTAGAGTGAAGTGGGTGTATAAAACAAAATTTAAACCTAGTGGAGAAGTTGATAGATACAAGGCAAGACTATTTTAAAGTGTTTGCACCCCTTGCCAGGCTTGGCACAGTCCATATGATAATTTCTCTAACTACCCAAAATAACTCAAGAATTTATCAAATGAATGACAAGTCAGCTTTCTTGAATGGAGTTCTTAATGAAGAAGTGTATATGGAGCAGCCAGTAGGATTTGTCAGAAGAGATCAGGAAAATAAGGTGTATAGATTGAAGAGAGTCGTATGTGGATTGAAACAAGCCCCACGAACGTGGTATATAATAATTGATTTCTATTTTTTGACTCGTGATTTTCAGAGGTGTCCATATGAGCACACATTATATATTAAATCTTCTGCTCGTAGTGATATTCTTATTCCGTGCTTGTATGTAGATGATTTAATTTTTATACGTAATAATCCAGAGATGGTTGCAGAGTTCAGGGAGGCTATGATTAAACAGTTTGACATGATAGATATGGGACTCCTGTCATATTTCTTGGGAGTTGAAGTCTTTCAATCTGATAGTGAGATTTTTATATCTCAAAAGAAATATGTATGTGACATTTTAAAGAAATTTAAGATGGATACAACGAAGCAGATTATGACGCCAGTTGAAGAAAAATTAAGGTTGATCAAGAAGGATGCTGGTCGATATATAAATCCTACTTACTTTAAAAGTTTGGTAGGGAATTTGAGTTATTTGACATCTACGAGGCCAAATATCAATTTTACTGTTGGTTTGATTAGCAAGTTCATGGAAAATCCACGTCAGTCACATTTGCTGGCGGCTAAGAGGATTTTGAGATATATTGGAGGTACTCATAGTGATGGCATTTTTTATTCAGGAAATGATCTAATTGAATTGTTTGGCTACACAGATAATGATTGGACAGGTGATACAGTAGAGAGGAAGAGTACTTCAGGGTAGGCATTTTTTATTGGTTCTGGCATATTTTCCTAGAGTTCAAAAAAGTAGCAGGTGATTGCATTGTCTGCAGCAGAGTATATTGCAGTAACTAACAGTGCCACTCAAGTTTTGTGGTTGCATCACATGCTTGGTGTTCTACAACACAAGCAGGTTGATCCTACAAAAATATATTGTGATAGTAAGTCAGCGATTGAGTTGTACAAGAATCCAGTATTTAATAGGCGTAGCAAGCATATTGACATCAAATATCACTTCATACGTGAGTTGATTCGAGAGAGGGAGATTAAAGTTGATTATTGTAGAACTAAAGAGTAAATGGCTAACATTTTCACCAAAGCACTGAAAACTGAAACTTTTGTGAAGTTGAAGAAGATGTTGGGCATGTTTAGATTAGTGGAGCTTGGTTAAAGGGAGGCTATGTAGGAAATTATTAAACCAACCTGGTGCTACTAGTATTAGGTAATTTGTTTGGTTAATATGGTGGGGCCACGTAGAGTTCAATTCCTAGTTGTACTAGTACTAGTAGTAGTTAGGTCTTGATATATATGTGTGTGTGTGTGTGTGTGTGTGTGTGAGTCGCAAGACATATGTAGAGGTAGTACAAGTTAGTGTGTAGTCTTAGTTGCTTTTGTGTGGTGTAGCCAGGCCTCGTTTGATTAATAGAAAATTTCCTTTGTCTCATACATCAAATTCTTGATATTGTTCTTGTGGATGTATGTGTGTTTATTTGTTTAGGTTCATCAATATTGAATCCTATTTGGATTATGCTATATGTTAAAAATTATGTTTAATTTTAAAATAACTTTAAAAAATAACTAATCTTATCTTAATGATATTGTTTTAAAAATCAACTAATCTTATCTTAATAATTCTGCTTTCTATTAAATTATTACATATACAACTATAAAACTTTTTTCAAATCACAATTATTGAAATGTTGCATGTTCCATAATTTACTTCCTTTCACCACCATATCATTGATTAGTATTCAAATTGTTCATTATCTCTTTCCTTAATTTTGAATTAACTTGGTGCAAAACAGAGAATTAACTATTACACCGACAGATTTACCAATATTGTTGGAAACTAAATATTTATTGATGAAAAAAGTGGATTGCTAGATCTTTTCTACTTAATTAAATGTGAATATATAATTCTAAATTTATGATCATTATAAAAATTTAAATTATCTAAAAAAATAATATCTACCAAGTTTTTGATATGAGATACATTATTTGATGTATACTATCAAATTATTGTGAAAGTATGTAAACAAAATTTTAAAAATTAGTAAATAATTGAACATTTAGAATTCATTAATTTTTTAAAAATAATATGAATGAACATGTAGTATTTTTGTTAATTTTTGTATTTAAATTATTCATCTTTGTATAAATCACTACAACAAAAATGGCCTTTAGCGGCATTTAAAGGTGTCAGTATAGAAATCTAACCTGACACTTTATCTATCCTGACACCCAGGGCGAGTGTTGTCCCTTCCAATGTGGGGATAGCCTCAAATCTTTAGCAGCATTCAAATTTGTCAGGCAAACCATGCTGCTATATCTTTACCTCTGCCAACAAAATCCTTTTTTTGTGATAATCGAAAGTGTCTGTATAGCGTTAGGACATCAGTAGGGAATCAGTAGGATATCAAATTTATGAAGGCATCTTGAGTTGTCTTAATATATGGCTTTAAGGACACGTAACCATGTGAATTTACAATGTGTTGGACGACATGCCCATTTGTTATTAGTGTTTTTCGAAGCTAAGCTATGCTGACACTTTTAATTGCTAGGAGAATTTTCCCTGGTTTTTTTTTATATGGAAGCAACCTGCAATTAGTCCTCCCTGCTGTACATTCCATCAACCAGAATCCCAAGGGACTTGTAAAATTATCCCAAAGAGCAGAATGCATATAGCAATGTAAAAGAAGAAGTCGATACTCAAATATAATTCACTGAATTAAAAGTCGATAACAAGTACAAACATAGCAAATACTAAAATCGCAAACAAGTGCTAAAAGCAAGTACTAAAATATCAAACCAGTACCGAAAGATTCTCATTTACAATAACTTGAAAGCTCTATCGGAAGCACAAAATAAAAGACTCGCATCCCTAATAAGTTGAAAGAAGTAGAAGTAGCTTCCAAACTTTCCATTTTGTTGAGAGTCCTCAGGCATAACCACGAAGTCCCCATCATTCTTCAGCTGGTTCCACCTGTGCACAAAGACCAAGGGGATCATTAGATCATCATAACTAGAACTAAAATTCCAGAAAATCCGCAATGTATTTAAGTGCATATCTCACCAAATGACAAGGCCAAGCAACTGGTGCACCAAGTGCATCTTGAATCGTTTGTTGTAAATCATATGGTCTAATCAATTGCTCACATGGAGTCATTGCAACTTGTATCTGTATTTCACACCAGTTTGGCCCAAGAGCTTGTCCCCCGATCTCATCCAATGGATTCAGACTTCGTAAATATCCCTTTGCCACGATTTTTGTTGGGTCAAACAAAATTTTTAGTGAAATCATATTCCCTACCTAGTAAACATCCAACAAGTACAAGAATCAAACTCATGCCAAATTCCAGATTACAAATGCAAAAGTTTAGAAGTTGTAAATACTTACTCGAATAGGTTGTTAGATGATGATGAAGGATGTCTCAGGCTGTCAATTGGAGAGCCCCTTCCATGTTGAACTAAAACCATTTTCTTCAAGCTGGCTATTTCATCATCTTGTCGCTGAAGCCTTTCCTCCAAACGGACCAATGTTGACTGTTGTTGAACACTTATACGGTAGCATGTGTTACGACTAGGAATGTCTTCCCATAAGTCCGTTGGATTCACACCATCACTAAACAAGCGAACATGACCATGTTTGTCTTGCCCAACCACCTGGGCAAATATATCATTGCGACCAACTGGATCTTGCGAATCCGATGGAAGCTGATTTTTCAGCTCAGTCATTTTTTCCTACATAATAAAGGAAAACACTTGTTATTGGAAAAGACTGTCTGAAAACATCCATGGTAGAATTGATAGGCTTGTGTTCTCAGATCCTTACCAAATTCTCAGCAACTATGGTACTTGATAGAGTTCCATCGGCATGGGTATAAAACTTATTGAACATTTCTACTCTAGTAGGAGGTCTTCCCAACTATTTGGCCTATAAGAAATTGAATCGTTTTAATTATAGTTTTAGCATTTAGCATATAATTAAAAAACAAGCTAACATAATGAAACATGTATGAGCAAAAAAATTAGCAACTAAAAAGTTGATGAGGTATCACCAAGTGGTTCCGAAGATGAGCAAATGACTTTTTTCCGGTTGTGTGCTTCATCTTCTTCTCCCCTCTAGCTTTCTTGTTCCTCTCACTTAGTTTCTAAATTTCAAAATCAAAAGCAAGATTACAGCATTGAATAAACACAACTTTATGAAGAATGTTGTAGCTGATTTGTACCTTTGCTTCTTCACTTTTCCAATAAACCCAAAGTTTGATCCATTGCTCTTCCCGTACCCTTATGTCCTTTTGAAACCGAGCTTCAGCATTTGGCACGGCAGGATCAAAATAGTTAGCCTTTAAATCTGCCTTCCAGCTTCTCCATTTTTTGCCAATAGATCTTAAGGTCCAAGCTTCCAGTCCCATAGGCAAAGCAAACATTTCCTGAAACGTAGTTAGCAACAAGAAAATCAACACAACTTCACAGTAATTTTTGTTCAAAGCATACATAATACAAAAGCTACCATTACCTTTATCACTTCTAACATGTCCATTTTAAGTTTCCTTGGCATCTTAAGCCATGTTTCAACATCTATTAGACAATACATACCATTCCTAGCCAAACTGCCCAAGAATTCAGAGAAAGAGGTTTTCTCACTTATTGGGATCCCATTGTCATCGAGTTTAATCTCAATCCGTGGAAGTTCCTTAGGCCGACCCCAAATTTCTTTCATAAATGTAGGGCCTCGGGTTTTCTGATGCACTTCACTTGAATCATTTGTAGTTTCTTTTCCTGTATAAAATAAGAAAAAGGTGCAAGTTATGAACATAACAAAATGCACTTCTGGAATTGGTTCAAAACAGTTAGTAATACCTGCATTGTCCGAGTTGCATGACATGAAAGTGGTGTCATTGGAATGTGGACCTCGAGAATCCTGATTTGGACTTTCTTCAGTTGCTTCATGCCTTGTTCCAAGTGGAGATTGTTGAATTGGAGAGTTCTGGCACTGCTCATGCGACTGCAAACCTCCATCAGCTTGTTGAGTAACTTGGTCACCTGATTCATGCATTATTCCCAATGTAGAATTCTGAATTGCAGATTGAGGTGCCTGAGCAGCTTCTCCTTGCACTTGTTCAATTACATTTTCATGGCTTGTTCCAAGTGGAGGCTGCTGCCTTGTTTCATGACATGAGGGAGGTTGCTCAATTGGTTCATCTCTCAATCCATTTGCAGCGCGCTTACATTTTCGACCTCTACGGGCCATACCTACATAATATTTGAGTGAAGAAAGGGACAAATGTAAATGTTTAAAATTTATTGAAGCAAACACTCTACCTATAGTTTCTTTAACTTACAAATGCTATTATAAAGAAGTACTACTTGAACAATAAACTGGCATGACAAGTAACAAATGGCATTCTTCAAGAATAAACCAGGGGAAGACTATGGAGCTGTCAACAGAACAGAGAAACAAGTGGAGAATATACGATTCAATGCAGCAACTAATTGGAAATGAAATGAAAGCTACATGCTTAAGTGACTGCAAGAATATACATGGGAAATGCTTTGATCTACATCCTTTCAGCATGAAAGATATGCAGAATTTACTACCGCTAGACACGAAACTTTTTCCATATTGTTCTGAGAATGATGCCTATGATCAAAAGTTGGTATGCTTCTACTCAGTGGCGGAGCTAGGAATTGCAATTAGGGGGGGCGAGTCTCTGTTATTTGGACCAAGTCCAAATAACTTTCAAATATTATTGTTTGGGTCCTTGAGAGGGGGCAAAGTGAAAATTTTTATCAATATTTTGGGGGGGCAAAACAATATAATAAAAATTTTTTTACTTAGAAATTTTTTTTATAACAATTGGAGGGGGGGCAAAGTGAAATTTTTTATCAATATTTGGGGGGGCAAAACAATATAATAAAAATTTTTTTACTTAGAAATTTTTTTTTTTAACAATTGGAGGGGGGGCGATTGCCCCCCCTGGCCCCCCCCTTCCCTCCGCCCCTGCTTCTACTCAATGAGGGCGCAAGTAGAAGAGTCCACGTAATTTTAACTTCAGTAATGGAGCAAACTAATAAATGATTGTCTTGAATTAACGAAATATACTTGGCCATGTGATAACCAAAAATTGCAGAGGATAATGTATTCTACCAACAAATACAACTCTTGGTTTTGTATGTTTAGGGGTGGCAATTGGGTCGGTTATGAAGCTCTACTGAATACTTTTATTTCCAGATTCTGACATGGTTCTGCATTTATCAAGAACACTCATTCTATTGTTCTAAGATAGTGTCTCATCTAAACAAGAGCTCAAGCTTTACGTAGCATTGACGATTCCAAACCAAATTACTTCTCTTTTTGCCATAGCCACAACCACAGTTAAGGGTTGACACTTAACAGTAAATGCACAAACACTTTATCCAATACAATTGTAACAGTACCAACAATACAGTTGTAGAACAGGAAGGAGACAAAGAGCATCACGGTGAAAGACTGAAAACGAGAACCCATCACCAAAAACAGATGATTGAAATTGTACATTCAGTTCACAGTAGCAATCTCCATTCGACCAGGCTCACCTAGAAATGTGCTTCTCAGAAACGTGCTTTTCACACCGCCACCACCCCCCAAAGCTTTTCACACCACCACCACCCCCCAAAGCAAACACTCAACCTAGAAATGTGCTTTTCAGAAACGGAGAAGGTGCTTGTCAGAGATAGGAATCGAATAACCTAAAAACTAAATCTACCATGCAATGCAAGAACATGTCTACCATGCAATGCAAAATTAGACACAAAATACTGAAATGACCTCAAACTATGGCTTGAATCCCTAACTTCTCGGTTTCCCCAAGCTTCAAGATCTGAACTCCACCCACCACCCAAGCATTGAAGCCCTAATTTCTGATTTCTTGCCACCAAGCCAACACAACAGCCGAATTAGGGATTTGCCTGGTGCGAGCTCAACCAAGTTACCCAAATGGGTGCGAGTTCATGGACGGCAATTGACTCAAATTGGTGGTGCGAGCTTCAAAGAGAGAGAGAGGACAAAGGCAGAGGACAACGAGAGAGGGAGAAGATGTCTAAAATAAAGGCGGTACTAATGACGCCAAAGTAAATTAGTCAAACCTCTTGAATTTTTCAATTTGCCGTGCTACTAATGACAATTTTTGTGTGTTTGGGCAAAATTTTGTTAAAGCTATATAACAACTTAAAATTTGGTTAAAGTTATATACAATATAATATAACAACTAAAAATATAAAGGCTAAAAATCTTGTTAAAGCTATATACAATATAATATAACAACTAAAAATTTTGTTAAAGCTATATAACAACTAAAAATAAAACAAATAAAAATTTTGCAAGAGCTATATACAATATAATATAACAATCAAAAATTTTGTTACAGCTATATAAAAACTAAAAATATAACAAATAAAAATTTTGTTAAAGCTATATACAATGTAATATAACAACTAAAAATATAAAAATAATTAAAAATTTTGAGAAGCTAACAAAATATATTCTTTTAATCAAAATGTCTTCGGTACTCAATTTATTTTATGCTGCTAGCAATTATGTACGGCTTGTAGTCTAACAAGCCATTGGAAGGATCGAATTAGTTTATGAAACAAGAAAATTAACTTGTGAATACATGAACTTTCCATTGATAAACATTGGGATTAGAATTGATTGAACATAAACATTGAATATATATATATATATTGAATGTTTTCAATTCCAAAGCAATTGCCATTGAACTTTGTGTTAATTAGAAGCTTACTATCACTTACAAGATCTTACTATTGAACTTTTCAACGATTAACCTTAGGCTTATACTTACAACGCATTGATTGAACATAAACATATATATATATATTGAATGTTTTCAATTCCAAAGCAATTGCCATTGAACTTTGTGTTAATTAGAAGCTTACTATCACTTACAAGATCTTACTTTTGAACTTTTCAATGATTAACCTTAGGCTTACACTTACAACGCATTGATTGAACATAAACATAAAGTATGATCGGTTTGATCGATTCGATCGTGCTTGATCTGTTCGATCGTGTCTCCGGTCACTTTGAAGGATAATCCAAAATTGCGACTAAACTGATTAAATTCGATCAAATATCAGTTGGACTAGAAAGCTCTATCGGAATTAACTTTTTGTATTGTTATTGGTTTAAAAAATAATTTTTTCATGGTATTAAAAAATTATTTAAGAAATTTATAGATTAAAGTTTCAAAATATTTCTATCGATCAAAAATTAGACCTCGGGTTATTGGGAAATAGAATTGGCCATAATATAATGATTCACAAATGTAATATTACAGCTTACAATTAATGGAATTGCTTATAAAATAATGACCAGTATTTATCCAGCCCATTGGGCTCTTAAAATGAGTAATGGGTTCCTTGGAAAGTTGGATAGTTTTATGTTTGGTCTGAAATGATTTGCACATTCCGTACGTTGCCAATTCTTCTCCCCAAATCATAGCCTCAGTTGCCAATTGTTCTCATGCCATTAAAAGAAAAATCATTCCAATACCATTTTTATGAATAAGACTGACGATTACTAACCAAGACTAGAAATCCAAAAACTGGACCATGGGAGTATCAATGAAGAAAGGCCTTAAAGAGGCAAATTAATACACAAGTTTTAACTAATAGCACCAAGTCTTTCATCACATCTGTCAGAAGGCTTAACATGACACCGAGAGCACTAAACTCAAAGCTTTGTAAATGCCTTCAAAACTAAGAATGTCGGTCATATTAGTAAAATACAAAAAAAAAATGCAAAACCCATCGACAAAAGGAAATAAAGCCTAGGCCTAGCAATTGAAACAGAGAAGAATAGGGCCAGTAAGCTTTAAAGCTATAAAAGATTCTAAATCAGATTATATTGGGACAAATCAACTTCAATCCCAAGTCCATTCTCACGAACCCAACTAATTTCCTCATTTTCATTCTCAACAACAAGATTGCCAACATCACTTTGCAAATATGTCTCAACATCCATGGTTGTGCCCATGTTATATCCAGCTCTTGCAGTGGTAGAGATAACCACTTGCCAATCCTTATCAGTTGGATCTTCCACATAAAAAACCTGTGATGCTTGTGAAGCGAGTATAAATGGCTCAACATGAGGCCTCACGTTTGCAAAATTGACTAAAGTAAACCCATCAGCATCTTGTTTCATTCTCGAACCATTTGATATCCAATCACATTCGAATAACACCACCCGATGACCTCCGTAAATTAATTCAATCATATTTTTCAAGACGCCGAAGTAAACTAGTTCACTCAAAACTGGATTTTGATCCCTTATACTTGCAAAACTGGATGTTGTTGCATTGACTGTAACACCACTATTCTGCGTTTTTCTTTTCTTCTCAACTTCTTTGGTGTGAAACTGAAATCCATTAACAACATACCTGTCATGTTGGATTCCAACAACATCTGGACCTTTAGCAAGGAACCTCAACTCTCTCAACACCGGAACATTTTGAGGAAGTTCTAACTTGTCAATCTGTTAAAAAAAAAAAAGATGAAACTATATTTGAAGTCCTACAATTCAAATTGTACTTAATATTCAGAATTTTACTTACATGTTCAGCAAACCAACACGCAAAATTTTTGCTGTGCAAGCACTCTTTTAGATGCTGTGGAACTTGAGGATGTCCTTCTTCTATCAATCTACGATGCTGCCTAGAAGTACATGAGTCAAAATTGTAATCATACATTGAATTCTACAATAAAATTTTAATGCATAAGTTGTAGTTGAACTTACTCTATGTAAGGTATGACAGCATCACAGTTAAATAAAATATACTGATGTGCTTTACTCAAGATATGAGCATCAAAGACTGTTGGCTTGCCCCTCTCCAAAGGATGTCCTGATTCAGAGAATATATCTAAACCATCTTCAATTTCCTTATGTACTTCTTCATTTCTACTTGGACGATTGAATTTTGTCTCAACATAGTCCGCAAGATACAATGAGCAAAAGTTAATGCATTCTTTTGCCAAGTAGCCTTGAGCAATTGAACCTTCATGCCTACTTTTATTTCGAACATAAGATTTTAATGTTCCTAAGTACCTAAAGTACCATCATTCCAAACTCTCTAATTAGTTCCACAAATCAAAGAAAGCAAAAAAGGAATAAACATTTAAGGCATAATGAGAATTACGAGCAGTACCTCTCTACAGGATACATCCAATGATAATACACCGGCCCACCTAATTTCA